TCTATCTATCTATCTATCTATCTATCTATCTATCTATCTATCTATCTATCTAATCTTCACTGTGATTTTAATTGAGTCTATCAAAACCCCTTTATTTGTTTTTAAAAAGTAGTAGTATAAAAGACTAAAAACATTAACTCTGGAAATAAACATCAAAGGCAGGGAAGCCCATAGGTCCACAAGGAGGTTAGCGTTGACCACACTAATTTTTAACTGATAGACTGATGAGCTTTATTTTTAAATAGAGTAAGTACCATTTAAAAATCACTTCTTCCAGATTCTTTCAGGCAACAGTTAAGAGGTAATCAAATCCTACTGCCCTCAACACAACCATCATGCACAACCATCTTGACCCCAGATAGTCTCCATACTCTGTTTCTTACATCAGTCTGTCAACCAAGGGTGGCGCTTCAATTCCCACATGATATATAGGTCAAAATCCCAGACAGCCCTACGCCTCTCTGCTAGAAATAGAAAGTAGCCCAAAGTAGCCAAAAAAGACCATTTTTCTATATTAAATTCAGAATTAGTACCCAGGGAGGTAGATGTGCATGCATTTCTACATCAAAACATAAGGAAACCTGTAATAACTTAGCCCTTCACATGGAAGTTGGTGCAACTTCAATATGTAAATATTTTAGCCAAATAAGCAGTATCCCCACAGGCACCTGCAAGTCTTCTCCCAGGGCTGCTTTCAGGGAGGATGCAGTCAGCCATGGGTGAGCAGCACAAGGCTTAGCCAGAGAGTCTACTTGGGGATTCAACAGACATAGTGACCTGTGCCCACGCAGCAGCGGCAGATTTGCTGACACCTCACATTCACGACAAGGGGACGTTTCCTGTTCTTTTCGTACAACTTTGTAACCTTGGTTTCTAGGACTTCTTGTTTTGAAAACAACAACAACAAAAAATCACCTCCTGTTCATTTCTCTACTGAAAAAAAAATCTCATTAATACATGGCTAGGAAATGAACGTACTTCACATAGAGACATGCAAGGGATAGCTTTGGTTGTTTTCCTTGAACTCAAAATACATTCACACATGACTGTTTAACTCTCAGAGAGAGAGAGAAAGAGAGAGAGAGAGAAAAAAGTAAAACCCTACTGCTTTCTGGGTGTGTTTTTAAGATGTGTTCAATGCCACAAAGAAGGAACACGCCACGTAATTGTGATAATTACTATGGCATGAAATACCCACTCTCAAGGCTGCCCACGCAGAACTCCTGTACACAGCCACCCCTCACAAAGCGCGGCACACAGAGAGTGAAGGTCAGACCTGCTGGTAGCCACGGTGAAGACTCCCTACGTTAACTCTGCTGCTTGATCGCAGGACACGGTCTCCCATCTCGGACAACGTCTCCTGCAACCTTCCATTCAAAAATGGAGACCAAAGAAGAGTTGTGCGGAACCTCCATCCAGAGCCTGCAGCCAGCACAGGCCTAAATTAGCAACACCGTCCATATGTTTTCTCCTCTGTGCACTGGGAGTCATGAAAATGAGCGCTCCAAAAATAATTCCCCTATCACACAATGATCCTCTTTCTTCTTGCGAGTCACATCATCGTTTTAGCCCGTCTGATTTAATTTTCCAAAACCAACTCCCTCATATCCGAGAGATCCTTTCCTCAAATAAATGCCAGGCAGGAAAACTGATACGTAATAGAATTGTAAATGTTGTCAATGGTTCTGTTCAAATTTGGTTGGAGTGTTCTGTTTTGTTCTGAGAGACAACAGAACTTTAGGAATCTCCCAGCTCGTGGCCATGCACTGATAAGGAGGAGAGAGCCGGGGAGAGGAGAGCGCAAGGCTATTCGGGAGAAGCTGAAAAGACAGGAAAGCAGAAAGAATAACCTGCTTTCTGCCCGCATACCCTTCTCTAGTCAGGAGAATGAAGCCATCGGACTAAATTCCAGTTGCTCAGCATTGCTGTCACTTTCTCTTCCTGCTTTGGTTGCAACAGAAACAGGAACTATTTGGGCGTGGGGTGTAGGGGGTGGGGTAGATAACCACAGAAAGTGATCCGCATCTTCTTAATGGGGTTAGCACTTAAAAAGGTGATCTCTCTCTCTCTCCCTCTCTCTCCCTCTTCCTCTCTCTCTCTCTCTCCCTCTTCCTCTCTCTCTCTGTGTGTGTGTGTGTCTGTGTGGTATGTAGCCACCACAGGTCAACCTAGGGTGTGGTTCCACAGGGGCTGTGGACTTGAGTTTTGGGGTTTTTTTGTGGTGATTCCGGGTTTTGTTCGTTGAGACAAGATTTCTCAATGATGAGGGTAAATTGGCTGGGCAGTAATTCCTAGGGACCCACCTGCCATCTTCCTCCCCAATCATTGCCCTGGAAATTCCCTGCACAGGTCACACTATTCCCTGATCCTTGACATTGGTTCTGGACATCAAACTCAGTTCATCCAATTTATCAGACAAGCACTTTCCCAACTGGGTCATTTCCCAGACATGGTACCAAAGCCTTCTTCCGCGGAACCCATGAAGTCAGGTGTGAAACCGCTCCTCGGAAGGAAACTCGCGTAACTAGCGGCAACGATATTATCACAGGCAGGACATCAAAAGGTCAGGATTCCCACTGCTTATGTGTGCAGATTTGCTCCCTCGTCACCACTGGTGCATCATTGCCATGGCCACCCCGCAAAACAGTACACAGAAGGCGGGGGAGCTTCTAAGTCAAAGAACTGAACTAGAATTTCAGCTGAGAAGCCCATTTTCAGATTTTAGCCAAAGAATTTAAAGGATTTTTTTTTTTTTTTTTGCCCAACAAAATCACCCGGTTTTCTTTTAGAAGCTGGTGGTTAAAACAAACAAACAAACATATATACAAACAAAGAGCCCCTTCTCCTCCCGTGCTGGAACTTCAGTCAGCTTGATCTCCTGTTGGTCTTCTTGTACAGGCACCATATAGATTTGGGCAGCACTAATTTGTGGGCTGTGATTTATTTTTTTGAGAGGATGGAAAGTCGAGGGAGGTGTGTTAGGGAGCGTCCAGAGAGGCATTGTGGGGTTATGGTGATGAGAAATGCATATAAACAAAATAAACTATATGAAAATGAAATTCTCTAAGGATAAAATTTAAAAACATAAACACACACACAAAAACAACAAAACAACAAATCTCCACGAACTATAATGTTAAGGTTGATGGGACAAGTGTTTAATAGAAGGGCGATTCTATAGCTGGAAGAAAATGCCACCAATGTATGGATCAGATAATGAGGTCTCAAGAGTTAAGACTCCTGTAACCAGGCCTTACCATACCTACCATGACTTGATTATTTGGGATTCACTGTTAGGAAACACACACCATTGAAATAGCTATGTTGCCAGTAACTTCAACTGATTGCCACAAAATCTTTCTATATTAACTTTCTAGAACTGCATAGGTCAACTGTTCCTCAGTGGTAACAAACACCAATTTAGTGTTCTCTAGCTCAATCAAGGCCTGGCCACTATGTTTCTCATCAAGAAACGGCAAGAGGCAGTTTCTTTTAGAAATTCTAGGAAAGAAATTCTTTTTTATTCTTCTGAATTATTTATGAAATTTAACTCATTGCAAGGATAAAAGAGTCCTGTTGTCATGCTTCTGAAAGAGTGGTCCAATCCTATATCGTAAACACCACTATTTCTGGGCTCATGGCTCCATGTCTCCATTTTCTTGGCAGGCTGAGTCCTTCAAATCCATCTTCTTCCATCTCCTCTCGCTGTCTCAACTTTAAAGACTCTTCCCTCATTGGGGCTAATGCAATTATTACCGAGCTTGTACGATCAATCTTAGGTAGTTTCCTGATCTCAAGGTCTAATCCTCGAAATATAGCTGCAAGGTTTCTCTGCCACATCAGGTAATAAACAGGTCTTCATAGTTCTTCATTATATTCACATGTAGCTCTGGAGAGTTAGGACTGGAACATCTTTGTGACATTGTTTTGACTCTACATCTACTTCGTGAATTACAAACCAATTGGAAAATTTTATCCATTACCCTTATTCTCTTTTAAGAGTTTTATCAAGATATAATTGAGGTATATCGAACCACATAATGTTTGTTAAAAATTCATGATTGTTTTATATACACGTATGTTTTACCTGCATTTGTGTTTGTATACCACATGTATGTGTGGTGCCTAAAGATGCCAGGAGAGGACGTTGTCTTCCCCTGGAGCTAGAGTTAGAGATGGCTGTGAGACCCCATGTGGGTGCTTGGAATTGAACCTAGAAGAGCAGGCAGTGCTCTTAAACACTGAGTCTTCTTGCTAGCTCTATCGTTTTTGTTGCTGAACAGTCTTAGGTAACTCAGGATAGCCTCTAACTAACTCACTATGCTTCTAAATGTGGCCTTAAACCCTGATACTCATGTCTTCACTTTCTGAACACTGAAATTGCAGGCATGTACCTATATGTAATTAAAGTCACCAGCCCTGACTATGAAATGGAACATCTTTAAAATGAACAGTTTGATGGCTCTTCACAAGCACATAGTATTTACATATGAATTCTTCACCATAATCAAGACAATGGATATATTAATTCATCATCCCCTAAATTTCTTAATGCCCCTGGTAGTCTACCCTTTCATTCTTGAATCTATCACCAAGCAATTGTTGATTGGCTTTCCGTTATTATATATACGTGAATATGTGTGCTTTTCTTGAATTGCATATAAAGAGAAATACAGAGAATATGTATTTTATTTTTTTCATCTGGCTTCTTTGCTCAACATGTTTATTTTTAAAATTACATTGTGGCATATAAAACCATATGATCTTGTCATTCCACTGTCTGATACTACGATTTATTATTTCTGTCTGGAACAATGTGTTAGGAAGAGGGTGTAGTGTAGCATGAGGGCCGGCTTGTTGGGGTGTCTGTTCCCGCCAGTACCCCACAGCCGGCAAGTCCCAAAGAAATCACACATAATCTACATTAGGTTATAAACTGATTGGCCCATTAGGTCAGGCTACTTATTGTAGAGGACCTTTCACCTCGTCCTGGGTCTCTGCCACGTTAGCTTATACTCTCTCTCTCAAGACGCATTAAAGCTTCTCTACAAAAGGATCCTAGTGTCCCGCATGGTTCTTGCTGGCGAGACGGTAGCGTGGGACAACTTATTAGTTCTTATAACTTACCTTAATCCATTATCATTATCTATGTTAGCACATGGCTCCGTACCTTTCTCAGCTGGGCAAGTTACATGCTGCCTCTTCAGTGGTCTGCGCAGGAGTGGCAGAGGAACCTCCCTGCTTCCCAGAATTCTCCTATTCTCATTACATCACCTCTACTTCCTGTCTGGTTTTCCCGCCTATATTGCCTGCCTGGCCAATCAGCGTTTTATTAAAATGTGATTGACAGAATACAGACAGTTCTCCCGCATCAGTGTAGGAAGTGGTGAGACCAAAATTAACTCCCTATCTTTTAGGTCCCTAGTCCAGTCCAAGGTTTCAAAAGCAGATACAAATCCCAGGAGAACTGAGACACTGGAAATCCATGGCATTCAAAACATATTTTGTTATATTAGTTAACTTGAGATATATAAGCGATTACCCTCAGCACAGTGAAGCTTAAAACAAAGCTTCCCTGTTGATCACATGGTTTGATCTGGTCTTCATTGGGCAATGTATCTGCTAGGAGTGGCTGTGTAGATTGGCTAGGTGCTGCATCAATGGCTGGTGTTTGGCATGACTTGACTATCTCTTGCTGCTGATTGCCTGGGGGTGAACAAGACCACTAGCCAAGGATTGCCTGCAAGATCGTCTAGAATTTTATTGACCCGACTGCAATCACGGGGTCCCCGAGAGCAGCAAGAATAAGGCACAAAACACAAAGACTTAAATTTCTTCATGACTGCCCCTATTGGACACAGGAAATCACATGACCAAGTCGAGTTTGCAGTTAAGAAACCAGTCCTAACTCTTGGTGGAAACAGCTGTGAAGAAATTGCAAAGGGGCATTCACGCAGGCAGAGGATTTTGTGGCCATCTCTGTACTTACACATCTATGCCCCCGTTTCTTTCATTACCTTCATTTCCTTACAACCCATCAATGCCGCAAGCCACAGCCCAACCTCAGTCTCCACATCTATCACTCAACGGAATCAACTCTAAGTTACCGTGACCTATTTTGTACTAAAGCCAAGAGACCCTTTTTACTCGGCCTCTCGTTTGGAGTCTTGGCTCCATTTGACACGTTCTTCACCATTGGCTTCACTTTCCTGCTCTTTCTTTTTCTCTTGCTACTTTCTTCACGGTCTCATTTATGCAAGAAAGAAAAGTGTATAAAATGATGCCTTGCACAAACAGGCACTGACACTTGGTTAATTGGTGGTGGTGGGGGGTACTAATAAGGCGGTGGTTTATTGGGTTGGGGGTAGGGTAAGAAGGAGGTTCCATGAATAAGAGTATTAACGAATCAATCCCACACCAGTTATGTTTTAAGGGGTTATTTATTTGGCGAGGGGTAAAACTTACATACACCATAAACCGTCAGGAAGGGAGCCTAGTCGCTGGAGCAGGAGCCGGGAGCAGCAGCTGAGACCGAGCACCGGAACCAAGAGCCGGAACCAAGAGGGCCTATTCCGGATATGCTTCTCTTTTTAAAAGAGAAATATACCACGCCCCAGTGGGCTGGTATTTCAGCAGCTATTGGCTGACGGAGCGGAAGTCGCTCCCCGCTGCACTGTGGGCTCGTATTTCAGCGACTATTGATTGAGGCAGCGGAAGTTACTCCCACAACACCTCCCCCTTTTGTTTAAGTAAGAGAGTTCTAAGCCTACTACGAAATTATATACAGTAAGTACAAACCTACACAATTATATACAATAAATACAAATATCCTATTCTAACTAGCTTAAGTCTTGTATAAGAAATAACTTGGCCACGTCATGAAAAGAAAGTAACTACGTTTATATAATCTTCA